ACAGACACACATTCTGTACATATACACACATACATACACACATATATAGATATACTGTATATACAGACACACATTCTGTACATATACACACATACATACACACATATATAGATATACTGTATATACAGACACACATTCTGTACATATACACACATACATACACACATATATAGATATACTGTATATACAGACACACATTCTGTACATATACACACATACATACACACATATATAGATATACTGTATATACAGACACACATTCTGTACATATACACACATACATACACACATATATAGATATACTGTATATACAGACACACATTCTGTACATATACACACATACATACACACATATATAGATATACTGTATATACAGACACACATTCTGTACATATACACACATACATACACACATATATAGATATACTGTATATACAGACACACATTCTGTACATATACACACATACATACACACATATATAGATATACTGTATATACAAACACACACACATATACACACATTCAGTGACCGTCAGAAACCCCAGGATCGGAACAGTTGTGTGTTGTTGTGAACATAAGAATTTTTCTTCTCTTCCACCTTTCATTTTATTTGTATTTTCTTTTTTTATTGTACATAGAATTTTGTTTTTATGAAATGAATAAAGTTATGTAAAAAACATGCATGTAAAAACAAGATCTCTCCAACGGAATATTTAACAGTGACTGTGGAGACCCACAGACCTGACCCCCAAGACCCAAAGCAGACATAAGGTAGACCAGAGCCAAAGACCCCGAGAGGGACCCCAAGCATGGAGCCCCCAGGGGCACCAGTGCAGGAGGGACTGCCCCCACAAATTGGACCATAGGAGAGATCCAGGAGAGCCCCCCAGTGGCCCCACACAGTAATCCCTCGGGGCCAGCAGCAATGAGCTCACAGGCCCCGCTGGTACCCACCACCGGAGCAGATCCAGGTATGGACACAGAGGCCCAGGCCCCCAGGGTGTACCCCCCACCCCCAGGCCAAGGCCCAATAGGGCCAGAGGACCCAGGCCCCACAAGGCAGTCACCAGGTTGAGCTGGCCCATGCCAGAGCCCCCAGCCCCAGACACCGAGAGCCACCAGCGGGCAAAGGCACAACCCACCAGAGGACAGAGTGGCAGGGGGACGAAGCCCACCACCAGCAGTGGACCCCCTGGTGAACCAGAAGAGTGGGCAGCCCAAGTCTCCATACCCCCCAGGTATAGGACATGCACCTGTCCATTCAGTTTGGGGTAGAGAGGAGCAGACAGCCAGGCCCGGCCCAGACTGCACCCGGCACACTGGTCATCCCCCAACCGCAGTGAAGCCACGCCCCCCAACCACCCCACACACCCCCCCAGCTGACCGCCCACCAGGCTCCAGCAGTCACCCCGGCCAGCGAGCCAACCAGGAGCCGTACTTCAGGGATCTAGACGGCTCCAGGGAAGCTGGAGCACCAGCCCCATCCCCAGCACCCCCTAGGCCCCAAGTCCACCCGCAACCCAGGTCCCCACCAGCACAGAGGGGACCTGGGTTGTGGGATGGGGTCCTCCTTTGTTTGTTTGTTTGTTTGTTTGTTTGTTTGTTTGTTTGTTTGTTTGTTTGTCTGGTTCTGCAGCAGCTTTTTATCTAAAGAGATGAAGAAACTGGGCTCAGACCATGAGAAAAAAACCAGGACGAGATCAGAGCCGGAAAAAACAGTGGGTTTGGAAGACTCACAGGACAGAGTCCAGAGGAAGGACAGGAGGTGTGCTGGACATGTCCAGAGGAAGGACAGGAGGTGTGTTGGACATGTCCAGAG